TTCGAACTTGCTCGCTCTTTCTTTTCCGCCGTTCTGGCTGCCGGTTCCCTACTGTTCTCTCCGTAGGCCGCTCTTCTGTTCCCCTTGGCTAGTGCTACCTCGGCCGTCTTCAGCCTTTCTCCCATAGCCCTCGTTTTCTATTGCTCTGTCACCAACGCAATGTCGAGCTCGGTGATTCTCATCAGCAGGTCACTCTGGGCAACCATCATTTTCTCCATTTTTTCCTCGACCTCACATTGCCTACACTTCACGTCAGTCTCTTCTCCTTCCACTTCTACACTTGGGTCCACTTTCAAACCCACCTCACATCCGGAACAATTTACAGTCTTTTTTACAGACGCCTTGATTGGTGGCGCGCCATCTATTGAGCATTGTTTGAATCATTGGAGAGAAGACCTGAGCGGCGACCGGAAAATGCACACAGGCAACACTGGTGTACACTCCGGCAGCCGCCGAACAGGGCACGAGCTCAAGAAGCAAGCTCCTAAAAGGCTGTTGGTCTTTTTTTCGGGCTACTCATAATAACGAAACTTTATGAATAACTCTTATGTGTACTATTTGATGCGTAACTTTACGTGCTGTTTCAGAATATATGGGATTACCGTATGTGCCGTAGTCAAAATCCGACATTTGTAGTTCTGTCCATGCTACGAACCAGTGACATCTCTGCGAGTTAACAGTAAACATTGTAATCTATCTGTCTAGCTACGCTCTGAGATGGTACGTCTACAAATACATTTGAGAGCAACGTTTTAGCCCTATACATCACATGTGTGTGATGTGTGGTGCGCGTTCAAAGTGCGCGCCTTCGAAAAGTGCGCGTCACGGAAAAAAAAAACAAAAGGAGAAATACCAGAGTGCACGTGCGGTGCTGCTTAAACAAGAATGACGACGTTAAAGAGCGTCAAGCACGAGGATGCGTGGCAGGACGTGAAGTAAACAAAAGGTAAAACATCCAATGGGCAGCGAACACGGAGATTTCAAGGCCCAATGGCTTGACACCACGAAACAGCAGTATCTCCAATGAGAACGAGACAAGTGGGCCAGAGCTGAAGCAGGAGCCTGAGCTGACCAGAGCAAGGGGAGTTCGAAGAAGACGGGGCAAGCGGAAGGTCGTCACCGGACCGGGCGCTGAAGATGGGCCGTCGGGCGTAGGACCCGAGCCTGCAGGTCTTCAACCGGCCGGGGCCTCCTGCCGTCGTGTTCCCGCTCCAAAGGACCGTGGCCATCCGGTCCTGAACTCCTTTCCAGGGCCTGCGGACTTTGGTTCCGGCAGGCGAGCTACAGCCGTCGGGCTCCGGGCCCGAGCTGTGCGCCCAGCTGCTTGACTAGGTCGACCCTGGTTCTCTGACGCGTCACCACCAGCCTGCGTTCTCTCGTCACAGACGGGTCCACACTCCTAAAGCCAGAGCCACCACGTTCCGGCCTGGTTTCTCGACGTGTCGTCAGCAGCCAGCGTTCCTTCATCCCCGCCCTGTCCGCGTCCTGAAGCCGGAATCACCGCGTTCCGGTTTGCTCACCGTCGGCGGAATTCAGCGTGTGGGTGAGACCGAACAGATATCTTGCGCTACTCCCATCACTCAGCCCCTTTCGAACGTTAGGTTTAGTTACTGACTTTGAACGTTTTTGTTGGGTGTTTACAGATGTGTTTCGTCATGTCCAGTCAACTGTTTATTAAGTGTTTTGTTTTGTGAGGAATCTTTGCCTTTTTTCTTTTCAATTAAACTTTTTGTGTGTTTCTTGGAAACCGAACGGCTTTGTCCTTATTAGAAAAACTCTCCGGGGCTCAGCCCGGGAGAAAAACAAATCAGCAACAAGAACCCTGCATCACAAATTGGCGTCCGCGACAGGACAAAGTCGTTTGTTTTTTCAGTAGATTTTTTTTTGACGCGGTTAACACGATGACGAACACGTGGGAGTTAATTGAGTTGGCGGATAAAATGGGACTGACGGGAGCGGAGTTTAGAGTATGGTACGAGGAGCGGATGGAGAGGGAGCGTGAGCAACGGGCTGCGATATGTGACGCTAAAAAGCAGCAGATTGCATTGCAAACACACGCTAAGAGAGAGGAGTTCGAGCGAGAAACACGGGCTAGGAGAGAGAAGCTCGAGCGAGAGACACGCGCTAAGAAGGAGCAGCTTGAGCTAGAAATGCGTGAAAAGAAAAGGCTGCTCGAGATAGAGATGCGCGAAAAGAAGAGACTGTTGGAACTAGAATATGAGGATTTGCAGCAGTGGCTTGAGAGGGAAAACGCTGAATATACGTGGTCTGAGAGCCAGAGTAGTCAACCAGTGGATGAGGTGTGCTCTGAAAGCAGTTACATCGGGAGCGATTTGAATTTACGTGAGACTGACCCTGTACCTCGTCATGACCTTTCGCTAGAGAAAGAAACTCTGAAAGAGTATGACAGGGAGGTAAACAGTCAAAAGACTAGGAGACTCGATAAGCTTATTGAAGCGCAGGAATGCTTCGTGAGCATGGAACAAGAACGTTCCATTCAGAGTAAAGGGTATTTTGAAACCTGTGAGAGGTCAAGCGCACTTTATTCAGAGGTAGGATTGCCTCTGAATAGCTCCGCTGAAGGAGCAATAAAAGGTCTCCTAGGTAATGCCGGCGAATGCCATAATGAAAGCTCTGATGTAGCAGCTACCTATTGTTTTGGGCCACTGGAGATAGCAACAGACGCTACGGACATGGTTTTTCACCATGATTATAACTTGCCCATACAGAGAGCTGGCTTGTGTTCTCGGGAAATTGTAGATGATGCTTTTAGAAGAATATTGGAGCAAAATGCAAAAGCACTTGTTGAAGAACAGAGAGTAGAGTTGCAATGTAGGTCGGCTATATGTGACAATGAGGGTAATCACGATGACCCAGGCAGAAGGGTTGAAAGTATTGATGAACAAGCAATACAGAAAGCTGAAGGGATGGAAAGTGAACCAGAAGGCAGTAATGGTCCAGCAGGTTATTGTACGAGGAAGGACGCCGACTGGTGCTCTTTGGCATCTTCGGTTGAAGAGGTCGCTTCTGTTAAGATGTCTCAACGATTAGCGGCTTACGAGCTCAAGCAAGGCGTTCGTGGGAAGGATGAAATGATTCAGGCGTGGTTGTACTGGTGCGCCTGGAGGCAACGCCTCCGACTGGCATACAGACATTCCAGCGTGTATGCTTGTGATTTCGAGGTTGGGAACCTGGTGATACACAGCTTTAGGTTCATACGAGCTTACGGTCGAGAATTCTTCCACTGGCTTCCGATTCCTTACTCTTGTCAAATGGTTAGAGCAGTTAAACGTCTTGTATGGGACGCTATAACTTAAGCGTCAAATTCGATTTCCCGCTGGTTTCTTTTGGATCTTGCTTGCGGACCATGGAAGGGTGTTGCTTGTAAATATTTGAAGAAGTTACATGCAATGTAACATTAACATGATGTATAGTTTTTGAGATGATAGGGTATATATGATAAAAAAAAGGGGTGGTGTAATACTAATTTGGGGATTTTCACAATCCGCTAGATGTGTCCATACTTTTTCTCACTTCTTGCGTATTTTGAGGTTAGTGAATGTGGACCTTTGGGCAATGCAGTGAACTGTGTGGCGGACATATGTGGGTAAATTGTGGTGCAGTGCGAAACGTGCACTCAACGGCAGTTTTTTTTTTTCTTCTCGAAAAAAAAAACTTTTCTTATTGTTGTTGGTTGAATGTTACGTTCTGTGGACTCGGTGTTTCGACGTGAGACATGTCAACGAAGAAGCAGTGTGGTGCCATCGGTGATGTGTTGAACTGCGTGGTGCAAATATGTGGTTTAATTGTGACGTAGTGCAGAACGCGCACTCATCGGCAGTTTTTTTTTTCTAAAAAAAAAACTTGAATAAAAGGGGGGCGTATGTGATGTGTGGTGCGCGTTCAAAGTGCGCGCCTTCGAAAAGTGCGCGTCACGGAAAAAAAAAAACAAAAGGAGAAATACCAGAGTGCACGTGCGGTGCTGCTTAAACAAGAATGACGACGTTAAAGAGCGTCAAGCACGAGGATGCGTGGCAGGACGTGAAGTAAACAAAAGGTAAAACATCCAATGGGCAGCGAACACGGAGATTTCAAGGCCCAATGGCTTGACACCACGAAACAGCAGTATCTCCAATGAGAACGAGACAAGTGGGCCAGAGCTGAAGCAGGAGCCTGAGCTGACCAGAGCAAGGGGAGTTCGAAGAAGACGGGGCAAGCGGAAGGTCGTCACCGGACCGGGCGCTGAAGATGGGCCGTCGGGCGTAGGACCCGAGCCTGCAGGTCTTCAACCGGCCGGGGCCTCCTGCCGTCGTGTTCCCGCTCCAAAGGACCGTGGCCATCCGGTCCTGAACTCCTTTCCAGGGCCTGCGGACTTTGGTTCCGGCAGGCGAGCTACAGCCGTCGGGCTCCGGGCCCGAGCTGTGCGCCCAGCTGCTTGACTAGGTCGACCCTGGTTCTCTGACGCGTCACCACCAGCCTGCGTTCTCTCGTCACAGACGGGTCCACACTCCTAAAGCCAGAGCCACCACGTTCCGGCCTGGTTTCTCGACGTGTCGTCAGCAGCCAGCGTTCCTTCATCCCCGCCCTGTCCGCGTCCTGAAGCCGGAATCACCGCGTTCCGGTTTGCTCACCGTCGGCGGAATTCAGCGTGTGGGTGAGACCGAACAGATATCTTGCGCTACTCCCATCACTCAGCCCCTTTCGAACGTTAGGTTTAGTTACTGACTTTGAACGTTTTTGTTGGGTGTTTACAGATGTGTTTCGTCATGTCCAGTCAACTGTTTATTAAGTGTTTTGTTTTGTGAGGAATCTTTGCCTTTTTTCTTTTCAATTAAACTTTTTGTGTGTTTCTTGGAAACCGAACGGCTTTGTCCTTATTAACAAAACTCTCTGAGGCTCAGCCCGGGAGAAAAACAAATCAGCAACAAGAACCCTGCATCACAATGTGATGATAGCTTAGTGAATGTAGTCGGGCGTGATTGGAACTCTGGCATGCTCAGGTGACGCTGAGTATCGTGTCGGCGTGGCGAAACAAGCGTGGACAGCCGTGCTCGGCCTACATCTGGTCCATCCTGGGTCTCCTGGCCACGGCAGCCATCATCGACGCCATGGCATCGGCGCAGCACCTGTGGACCTCGGACGTGAGTGCCTCAATCTATTAAGTTGTCTCGCGTAAAGCAGAGAGAGCGAATGAAAAAAAAAGCAAAGGTGTTAACTAGATTAGATGCAGTTTGCTACCCCATTCATGGGGAAGAAAATCAAGGAGTTAAAAAAGAGAAAGACACCACTTACAATGCACACGTCAAGTGTAGCGTGTCTGCACACGAGGATTGCCTCAATGTTGCCGTCAAGAACTGCAGAATAACTCGCCATTGTGGTTTATTGGTTATGACGCTGTTGTCTGCTTATCCAAAGGTCACGGGATCGAATCCCGGCAACGGTGGCCGCAATTTCTGTGGAGGCGACAATGCTTAAGGCCCGTGCAGTTAAACATAAGGGCACCGTAAAGAACGCCAGGTGGTTATGAAGGACGCCAGACATCCCTTTGGTGTCCCTCCTAATCATATCGTGGTTAGAAACTGAAGGAGGGCTCCTGTGGCTTTCTTAGCTCATGAGCTGTGATGCCAGGCCTCCAAGTTTTCCTATTCAGTGAAAGAACAGCCACAAAGTCTTCTTCGGGTATGCGGGATAAGATAGCGTTGCGCAAACTTGTGCTTCGACGGCGTCTCATAGATCTAATATGTATCTTAGTCAGCTAGCATCTTAGAACTGCTATGGAATATTATTCGGTGCAACTTGCGCCTATGTTTTTAGTGTTAGCGCTGATTGCATAGCAAACGGAGCCTTGTCAAACCAGACTTCGCGTTCGACGCGAACGCTGTCTTGAATGTCGGAAGGGCGTGCGATAATTCCTGAATGTTACGCAATAAAAATTATACACTGTCCAAAAACTTGACCCGTAAATTCAGCTAACACTACCGGGAGCTAAGCTAGTAAAGCTACATTATTTGAGTGCTGCTTGCTTTCCAGAGCGTAAATTCAATGATTAATGAGACGTTGTGCTCACCCCCCACACTTTCGACGCGTTTCTGTAACTCCTGTTCAGCGCAACATTAAACTACAAGGTAACGACGTGTGTGAGGTGACCGGAGACCACTTAATTTACTTTATATGGAGAAGCTAAACAGTGTGCGTGCGAGTTTTTAGCTACACTCTATTATTTGCATGCACATCGTGCAGATTCTACGCCACACCCTGGAAAGTTTCAGGGGTAAGGGCGCATAGTTACCTGCCTGGCTATTCGGGTTTCGAATTAAACACCAGTCTACCGGGGGTTAAGAAGAAAGGTTTAGATCAAACAAGGAGACCATCTACTGCTATGATATTCGAACAGTGTCGCCTGTTGATCACAAACTTATGACATGTTCATTCCAGGAAGATGTCGCAATACACTACCGTGTACATCAAATAGCATGTCTTAAAATAGGCTTAAAATTAATCAAGGAAGCTCGAAATGTTAGCCGAGCGAAAGAATTAACGTGGTTTTTCAGGTTTATTATCACACAATACACAGTCGGGTACAAACCTTCGTACAGAATCACAGGTCAACAAAAAAAAATGGAATCTGACTCACACTCACTCATGACATATTTTGCGCTTATAACTCTGACTTGGTCTCGCCTAAATTTTCCTTAGCCGAATTCACTCGGACTAGAACTCACGAATATTTTTGACCATACTAATTTGGTCTTAAGCTCATTAAAAGATTACACATCCAGACTCACTCAGGCTCAGACTGATCACTCGATCCGAGTCTGAGTAAGTCCGAGTAAGCCCACTGATGAGTTCATTAGTCTAAAATTAGTCAATGTATATGGAAGTGGTGTATGAACAATACTGCTTGACAATACGTGTCAGTAGACGTTAGTATAAATGTGAGTTTTAGCTAAGGTTCACAGTGATCCTGACGATGAGTAGAGAGGTGGCATAATTGAAAGCAGGACGTATTGAACCCACGAAACTTATACGAAAGAGAAATTGGAGCAGCGCGGCACAAGAAACATGTTTTTTTTTACATACACGTGTGTACCTGCAGCAGGGCGAACATTTATACAACATTATCTACAACAAGCCAAGTCACAGGTTGAAAACGAATGCAACAAGGTTAACCCAGAAAGCTATGGTGTAATTTTTTGGTCTCATACCCCGTTTGGCAGCCTTATTTATGCAATGTCGACAACTGAAAGAGCTTGGCAATAACGTCTGAAATACTGCGAAAAGCGCTATTTGCGCGTATTGAGAAGACATTACCTGCCGATGAACCATTCTACTTCAGTAAAATCTGCCTGGATAATCTGCCATATTTTATACTTTCTTACTTTCAAGCTCATACAAAGCTGGAAGGACGTTGTATACCAGAGCAAACTGTATGAACAAAAAGAAACGTCTTGTTTTAGAAGATAAGTTGGCCAAAGAAAGAACTACAGCGGAAAATTGAAACATGGTGCGAAAACCAGAAATCAACTTGTAGAATGTTATAGACCTACATACACAAGTTCAATAACGACAGTAATACAGGTTGCCAACTGGGGTAGTAAAATGGTTACGATACTTGGCTGCCGACCCGAAAGTTGCGGGATTGATCCCAATTTCGGCGGTGGAATTACGATGAAGCCCGTGCACCTTGCGACCTTATAATACACGTCAAAAAAAAAAGAAAATCCAATGGGCTGAAATTACGGCAGCCTTCTGCTACAGTGTGTAATGTAATCATGATATATTGTGGACGTAAAAAAAAGCTCACATATCATTAGTATTTGATAGCACCCGTTCAAAGCTCGCATGCATTATCACAATGTTGTCGTTGCCTAGAAAAAACTATAAAACGACCAAGAGCGGAAATGCAACTACGAACGAAGGAGTGTTAAAATTTGAATTACTAACAGTGACGCCGTTCTTAGCCGATGTTTTCGTTTCCGGCGTTGTGGTGGCGCTGATCAAGTGACCTCGTATTGCGGCGAGAGCGAGCCTCCGTGAGAAGGAAAGGCTCCGTGCCCTGCGAGAGGCGTGGGGGAGAACGCAGGATGTTGAGTGGTGAACCCTTTGTGACGGGTGAGGTGCGGTGGAAAGTAAAACAGCGTATCAGTGTCAGAGTCCAGGAGTTCCCGCTTTCAAGGTGGGGAACGTTGCTCCCTCTCACGGTGAAAGAGTTTCGACGTGAGTGCCCACGAGATTTCCTGTGTGAGCGGGCATGTCATCGTTGAGTCATCGCCGAGTCAACTTGAAAAACATGGAAGTACGATATAGCCTGATCAAGGACGGGCACAAGCTTAGCTGTTTCAGTAGTGTTCGCGAAGTGAAACTCGCAAGATTTTTTTGCAATGCGTCTCAAGTAAGCTTTCCTTTGCCACACACTCAGTGTCTATCAAGGCAGTTGATATTCTTTCAATACTTTTCGTTGCAGAGGATGGTCTTGTCGGACTTCAACTACCAGAATGGCGTGATTCTCGTGAACATATTCTCCGTGTTCTTTCTACTGGGTTCATTTCTCAGCACCGGTCTTCGAGACCGTGTCATCTTCAAGAGCCACCGCCTCAAGGTAAGTTGCACGTTCAGTGCTTCAGTGGGCATTCACCGCTTCTATCTTATTCGGATAACCATTGTTTCTATGCCTTCAGTGCTACTCCTATAGTTGAAGCTCACTGCGTTACACAATTATCCTACGGTAAAATTATACGTTCGTTGGCACAGTGCATTTTGCAGCTTCTTTTTTTTGTATGACAACAACGTGTAGACCAGGGTTCTCCCGATAATGGGTGTTGGTCAGAGCGGTGGGCGGTCAAGCAAAGTGGTGAATAGGAGCACTTGGTGGCGGTGGAAACATCTACGACTATTGCACTTGACCGCCCACCGCTTTCAATAGACCACCCACCACTCCGATTGAACAGTTTTGAAATGCGCGCCTGAGAAACCCATAAATAATCCTGCGCAACGCCTGCCACAACCTGGTTACGTAAAATAAGTCTAAACAGTTGGCATACCGAAAAAACTTGCGGCAAAACCTGGCATTTTCTCACTCACGCACACATTCACACACACACGCAAATGCCTGGTCGGCACCAAGTTTCTTCAGTGGGACGAGTTACCAACTAGCCTAACAGCAATTTTCAATAAACGATCTGCCTTTCGGTTTCAAATAGCACCAGTGCAAGCACCCTTGCTTTCATTTTTCATGTGAGTCACAAGTGTCAGAAATGCGCGACCAGACGTTAAGCGTGCAGGTGTGTAGAAAACAGAACGTACAATTACATGAAAAAAAAGCTTCAACTTCTTATCTTAAAGTGTCCACCCATAAAAAAAGTTTAGAGAGCACTGACGTAGACGTATCTCAGTCGTGAGACATTCGCCCTACACGTCATTGAGTTCTCGACGTTTGCGGTTCAATCGTGCCATCCTATAGTTGAAAAACATACGTAATCAAACTCCTCTATAAGGTTCATGCCTAGCGAGCTAGCTCTTTTGCCACCATGGTTACCTAGAACAGGCCGTCACAGTTTGTAACCTAAAGATCGCGGTTTATTAGAATCATTAAGCAAATAACATATTTTGTTGTTCTCGCTGTTGAAGATTTTGCTAAACTGTATTTTTATTCCTCCTCTCCTGCCTTCTTCAGTCGAGGGAGAGAAGTCATGATGACACTTCGTCACCACTCGGCATTTTCGTCTGCTGGCCACTGCGCACGTAAGTACAAATGCATTATTTCCGTTTTTAAAAGAATTTTGCTGACAGTAGCAAAACACAGGAAACCATCTAGAAGCAACATTTTGCTTTGATGTGAAAAAACGTCAGTTGGTTTTGTATTTATGGGTTATTTCTCGTCTCCTCGTTTGTTTGTTTTTTTGCTCTTTGATTGATATGTGGGGCTTAACGTCCCAAAACCACCTTATGATTATGAGAGACGCCGCAGTGGAGTTTTTTTTTTCTTTCAATCTATTGTTATCACTATATTGTGCAATCACGATTAACACTTTGCATTGTTGCAATCGTCACTGTTTTGTCATTTGAGTACCATTTCATTTTGTACGTAATTTATTTTCTCTATATGTATACCTCTAAACCTTACCATTTTGCATTATGTGTTGTACGGGCTATGAACTTCAGTGCACAAAGACCACCGTCAGACAATTAAAGGCTTTAGCTTCTGTTTCCTCAGGAAACATCTGAAGAAAAGCTGAATTGAATTAAATTGAAATTACGCGCTTCCTCATGCTGCCTTCTATTGCTCTATCCAGCGGCTGTGCTTTCAGTTCCAACACGCTTTGACTGGCTCCTATCGAGACATGGGCTGCACAGGGCCCCAATAATAGTAGGAGCGTGGCAACTGTCAGCCGCATGTGCAAGTGATAGTGTTTCTTACTATTAGGGCAAACAGAGATCACCGCGTCGCCACGCTCCGCGGAGCGCCGATGCATCCTGCTTGGGTTGGCGCAGTGCGCGCTGCTTCGTTTGGATGTTGATGGTACACTAGACTCAGGGACAAATTTCTGTGGCAATGAGGGGAATGCTACGAAGCTAAAATGGGTGTGCGCCACCACTGTAGAATATAATGCCACAAATGCGTCCATGTTTGCCGCGTGAAAATAATTAAGAGAGCCCCATTATTTTCTACTGGATGTGGTTTATAGGCACCCGGCAATGCAGTTTACGAGATATGATGGTAGCGCCGAAGCACACAGCCGCAGCAAAACCGAGTCTTCCAATGCGTAGCCTAGCGAGTAGACGCAGCAAAATTGGACTTGCACGTGCATATAATTTTCTTTTTTAGTTGTGAGCAGGGGGGTCACGGCTTATTATGTAAGCACCCCGGGAGCGTTCATTGAAAGCGTGCCAGAAAGGGCACTGACAGTTCAGCGTGTCATCGTGCTAAGCTAGTGTTTCATTTTCTTAGTATCCCTGGTGGTCGGTACCAACGATGTTGAGGCGGCCCAAAAAGCATCGTCGTGACCACTGGCCCACTGTCGGGTGCCTATAAAGAGACGCTGCAAGCACCGAGGAGATTCTCATATTTCTCGTTGCTTTCTTAAGAGCCATTTCGCGTTTTCGCGTGTCTCAAAACGTCGCACGTTTTACGTGCACTTCACAGTCAAAATGACGTCTTCGTCTATAGATGAGCGTGCGTCGCCCTCCTGCTATTCCAACGACTCGCCGAAGCAGCTTGAGTCGAATTTCACACACAAATGGATGTGTAAACAGACGCATCACGTTCTGGGCAGTAGGATTATTTGAGCACGGCCGTCATTCGAAACACGAGTAGACCCGAACTACTCCGCAAAGGAGTGCAGGAGCAGTACCTCCACTCCCCGTAGCTTTCCCTTCATTTCCACGAAAAGTTGTCCCTGACACAAAGAGAAATTTCGTGCTGGCAGCTATCAGCCGAATGTGCAAGTGATAGTAGAGAGTTTTAGTACTGCGGAATGGTGCTACGTACGCATCACGCAAGCGCCTTGCGTTACGTGGCGTCGATTGCCACAGATCGGCTTTTAGTACGCTGTAGTACCAGCGTACGTAACGAGTGTCAAGCGTGTTGCGTCATCTGGTAGATCAAAATAGAAGCACGTGTTGTTGACAGCCAATGTGAGCCAATCCAAGTGTTATAGCCAGATTATGACCATATTTTAAGCCACAGAGCCAGTCGGTGCTTGCCTTCAATGCCGCCATTTTGCAAAACGAAGTCTCGCGCTGTCGCGAACTTGTTCGAGAGCGGCGCGATCAGCTCATACGTACGCACGCACGCATCTCATGCGTGCGTACGTAGCGGCTGCGTACGTAACGCGATACGTGCGCGTTGCGGTCTGCGCATGCGCACTACGCAGAACGTGGCGTCCTTACGTATGCAACGCTGCCACGTACGCAGCGTACGCAGTACTAAAACTCTCTAGTGTTTGCCACTATTAGGGCAAACAGAGATCACCGCGTCGCCACGCTCCGCAGAGCGCCGATGCATCCTGCTTGGGTTGGCGCAGTGCGCGCTGCTTCGTTGGGATGTTGATAGTATACCATACTCGGTGACAACATTCTGCGGCAATGAAAGAAAGGCTCCGGAGCTAAAATGGGTGTGCGCCACCACTGTAGAATATAATGCCACGAATGCGTCCGTGTTTGCCGCGTGAAAATAATTAAGAGAGCCCCATTATTTTCTACTAGATGTAGAGGCGCTGCAGGCACCAAGGAGATTCTCATATTTGTCGTCGCTTTCTCAAGAGTCATTTCGCGTTTTCGCGTGTCTCAAAACGTCGCACATTTTACGTGCACCTCACAGTCAAAATGACGTCTTCGTCTATAGGTGAGCACGCGTCGCCCTCCTGCAATACGAACGACTCGCCGAAGCAGCTTGTGTCGAATTTCGCACACAAATGGATGTGTAGACAAACGTATCAAGTTCTGGGCAGTGGAACTAGTTGAACACGGCCGCCATTTCAAACGCAAGTAAAACCGAACTACTCCGCGAAGGAGTGCAGGAGCAGTACCTCCACTCCCCGTAGCTTTCCCTTCATTTCCACAGAAAGTTGTCCCTGACTATAGAGAGAAATCTCGTGCTAGTATATGTGTGGGCTACAATGCCTGATGTCACAGCAAGCACAGGAATTATTGGTAGCACGAAGCTTGTCATGAAAAGCTCTTCGGACACTGCCACAATCCTCTCTGGGCTGTTGTTAACATGGGTGCCCCTCACCTTCCCTTCCACCTAGTGCACTGCCAAGGCTCCGACGTGAGCTTTGGCACTCCCGTGCAACAGCAAAAAAAAAAGGGGGGGGGGATATATTCGTTTAAAAGGTCCGTGCTTATTTGCCTAAACTTCGATAATTTGTCTCCACGTGGCTGCGTGTGGCATGTAGTCGTTTTGCCGCAAGACGAAGTTCACCAGAAGTTCAGTTGTCTCCCCTTGAAACCCTTTCAGTAAAATGAACGTTGAGTCAATTGGTGACAATGGCGAGATAATTTCGCGTCTTCCTGTCTTCGCGTCTTCGAGCAGCACTCGAGTCAGTGCGCTGCTTTGTCTTTAAAAATCAACTCAATTAGGCTCACCAATTCAAGTCAGGTCGCGAGGCTCACAACAAGACGTTATTTCATTCGCAAAAAAGTCACAACATATCAATAAACAAAGCCACAAAGGTATTCGAAGCCACCAGCACGCAATCTATAGCCGAATGCTTGCACCACTCAGCCTTGCCATGATGGCTGAATGATAGCAGTACCATAGTTCCTCCTTGTACATATTGTACAATTGTAGGAAGCTATGCAACACAGCGGAGCAAGAGCGACGCTTCCAACTCCCGCTTATGAGTCCCGCTGCACTTTCACCTATTCGCTTCGAAGCGCAGCCGTGTGGGATGCACAGGCGTGTTCCCTTCAAGAGTGTACAAGCCTGCACAGGGAGCATTATTTGCGGCTTGCGAAGAAAATCGATCCACTCGCGTCACTTCGGCCTTCTTGCGTACATGCAGCCACCTAGCCAACGTCGTCCTTCGATCCAAGGTCATCATGGAGGACGTGCCCCTGCTGCCCCACAGGTACAAGTGCGGTCTGTTGCTGCAACAACTGAGCAATCACCTGTCAGAAGGATGGTGAGTTACCTTTTTTATATTATTAGCTCCTTCGGTAGTAGTGCATGATATCCGGCTTGATAATCGAAGATCTTAATTGATTGATATGTGGGGTTTAACGTCCGAAAACCAACATATGATTACGAGAAACGCCGTAGTGGAAGGCTCCGAAAACTTTGACCACCTGGGGTTCTTTAACGCGCCCCCAAATCTGAGCACATGGGCCTACAACATTTTCGCCTCCATCGGAAATGCGGCCGCCGCAGCCGGGATTCTATCCCGCGACCTGCGGGTCAGCAGCCGAGTACCTTAGCCAGATGTTCTCCGGGGTGAAAAGATATTGAAGGTGAATAAAACTCCAACGTAGATAATCAAAGTTCACCATTGGACCATTTGATGATTCATTATCTCCAAGTGGCCGCAAGTTGAATGGTATTTCATCCTACGTAGTGGATGAAAGACTATTTAAGTTACCAACAATGGTGTACGTACACTGTTGCCATAAAGAGGGTTACTATGCTATCACGTGTGAAGGGTACCACCAGGCAAATTTATGTATGTTATTAATACACTGTATTACTTTTGTTTTTGTTATAATGGCTATTGTTCTTGTTGTTTCCTCCACGGATCCAGATATTTGCAGAGTGATACTCGCAGTGCAGAAGCCAGATCATCTATGTGACTATTTGTGCTTTCTTTCGCGCCATTCTCACGAATCTCGGATCCTCAATAGACTTCGAGCGTTTATACGTTGTAAATTGCCTAGCTACCCTCGCTAACACAGAATAAATAACATTTAGAGCTAATTCTGAGACCTGTTTCTCATGTTTCATTCCTTAGGCACAAGACCATGACTACGGGGCGCTTTGTAGCGACAATCCTGCGGGTTCTGTGGATCGATGTGATGTGGACAGTCGTGAGCACACTCGGCTACTTCGGAAGCGTGATCATCAAGGTGCCCATTTTGGAGTAAGTGAACATCAGATAACTATTCTTCAGTCATGGTGCCCTTGCGTGCCCCTAATTAACAGAGCTCACGTTCTTGGATAACGTATTCTGAGGCTAGTCCGTTTGTGATCATAATTAAACAAACATATGACATTAAGAGTTCTAAGTGAGCAAATCGTCAATATAAACCAAAAGATTGTTTTCCTTTATATTCCCTTCAATTCTACATTTGCGGAAGGTGTGCAAACAATCTTCGCCGTGCAATTTAATTTCAACGCCTAAAGGGCTCACGTAGATGGCAATATTGATGACACTCGTTGTTGACGGCACTCACAGAAATGAACACCTTGTTGCTGTTTTCTTCATATATGATGATTATTGTACAAAGATTTTGGACTTCGAAGACGGCGTAGTTGTGCGGTCAAGCCGGGGGAGATGGGTGGCCGCCTCCACCCCTAATTATGAAAGGTGGCGTCTATTCAGCCCCCAATCGTTTTTCTTCTCTCTCTCTCTCTCTCTCTCTCTCTCCTCTTATATCTTTTCAATTTTACCTTACTTTCTATTCTTCACGTCTCCTTCGCCTTTACCCTTTCCCCCGCGAGTGTATCGGTTGAGGTTTCCTCGCATGAGAGACAGTTATCGTGCTCTCTACAGCCCATTTTCTAACCGTTGTGTCTTTTCCTAAAGAATCCTTCCTCTCACCCTCATTTTTACTCCTATAGGTCTGTTCCTTCAGTCTTAATAATGCATAGGGTTGGGCTAATGGAGGTTGTTATAAGTACTACTGTGGTCGAAGTTCGTCCAAGAACGGCTTACGTCGCGGTTTTACTACCGTAAAGCCGGAGACGAAAGACAGGTCGTTGTGAGCAGCACGCAACTGCTTCATTTTGGTCCTTGCGTCCATTGCGAAAACTTGTTTCGGACTCGTCAAATGGTGGTCGGAGAGAGATGTGGAATGAAGCTTTCGCAATGTTCGTTGCATACAAAGACGAAGCGTTTAACCATCCAGACGGGGCACAAACGAGAAAGAAAATAAACCGAAAAATGATTCCGCAACCTGGGGGCGCTGTGATGAACTTTCCCAGCACTGAAGGAGCACCCTGCACACGCCTTTGCTATGTATGACTGTAGGCTATTTCATTCAATCCATGTACGCGTTATAAAAGGTTTAGCGTATGGAGATGAACGCCGAGTTACGCATGCTATACTTTGTTATTGTGGTCGTGGCGCTGAAAGACTGCAGGGGATGGATAGAAGAAGTCATCATGAGTTTACGTACTCAGTTTAACTGATTCTTTCGTTTTCTCACATTTTCTTAAGATGGGCTTGTAAGTAAAGCTAGAGTTAGAGTCAACAAAGAACCCTAACAGGGCACTATGACCATCTGCAAGAATATTCACGTACGCAACGTAACTTCGCGAGGCCTCCCAAATCGGCATACGACGTCTAAAGAATTGTTACTACAGTAACTAATTGTAATAACGTTGTTCTAACGGCCGCTGAACGCGCGCTCCCAGCTTATTTCGCCGCTGGCACATACTAGTTTGTCGAAACTTCGAGATATCTGACTGTACGCATGGAGTCATCTCAGCAGCATATTGCTGTTTCCGTGCGCCTTAACTGTCTGTTGCCATTTTGGTAACGCTGTTCTGACCGAGTACAAATTATAAGTTATTCTGCCTGAAGTGTAGAAAAGCTTCTGTTGTTTATTTGTTGCTAAAGACTGGCATTCTAGGAAACAATTTCTTAGCGTTTAAGCAATCTAGCTGGAACATTTTGTGTGGCTGACATTTGTGTAGCTAAAGCTTGCGGTAATTTCAATCCGTCATACAATTGCCCAATGTCTGCTAAATATGCTTGGAGGATTGCCTTGCGTTCTTCAACGAGTTGCTAATTATCTGCACATCCCTTCATCACCCGAAGAGGTGAAGGCAGCACTACATTCTATGAAACGGGGGACGGCCCTGTGCCAGACGGTTTTCCAGTTGAATGTTACTTGTTATTTTGGAAGGAGCTTGGTACTGCCTTAACCACGGTTATCCGGCGACGTTTCGAGGATGGTGTCTTTCCATCAAGTTTTCGAGATGGCCGCATTGTACTAATCCCAAAAGCTCACGCTTTCTCTGTTAGTCCTGAAGGTTGGAGACCTATCACGCTTCTTAACGTTGACTATATGTTATCACGACGGTATATCGCTCAACTTTTGAGGGCTCTGTTGAACACCCTGGTGGATCATCACCAGGCTTCATCAATGCCTGGACGAGAAATACACAATTTCTCCTTTACCACCCGGTATATCATAGCCTATACTCTGTCGCTACCAGCGTGTGATCTTTTTGTGCCTTTGGACTAATAGAAAACATTTGACCGACTACAGCACACGTATATCTTTAAAGTGCTCACAGCCCTTGGTTTTCCTGATTCTTTTGTGGAATTAATTAGGTATCTCTACTCTGGTATAAAAAGCACATTAGTTCTATATGGTCGGGAGAGTGCTGCCTTCTCTATTACACGTGAGGTCCATCAGGGATGTCCATTGTCTCCTGTTCTATTTATTCTAAGCCGTGGGCAAGAAGCGGATTCGCGTGTCCGGGGTCTTGCGCTTCCGGGAAGCAGCGCCGTGAAAGCCACAGCTTTTGCTGACGACATAAATCTGTACCTTTCAGATGAAGATAGTCTTTCACATATTTTCGTTTATTCTTTCAGTATGGTGACATTTCAGGTGCCACGCTAAACTTCTCTGGATCCCGGTATTTGTTCATCAGTTGTCCAAACTTGAGACTTAGCTCCGCTTCTCTTCTTCAGTGGGCTCTTCGCATCTGAAGAATTCTATACAAACACTACGGCATTAGTAAGTACGTTTGATCAAACGCCCTCGACGAAGTAAAACAAAAAATTGTGAACGCGCGGGATTTCGAGTTCCCGCTTCTTGAGTGGAGGTACCTTGCACAGTACGTGTTCTGCGGTCGCATTTGGTACCTTTCTCACGTGGAGCAACTGCCTGTACGCATCGTGAGATCATTGCAGTCTGCTTTGTGTTCGTTCTTTTGGTTCGGTGACACTGAGTCGGTTTCTCGTGCGGCTTTAGGAGAGCAGCGTTTCCAGGGAGGCTTTGCTCTTCCTTCGGTATCAATACGCTGCCGGCTACTGGCCCTGCGCTTCCTGTTGCGCCTTCTACAAGGAGAATAATACCCCACGCGAACTCTGGCGTATTATTTTCTACGCACGTCTTCGGGATTTAATGTCTAATGAGCACCTTAATCAGGGCCCACAATCATTAAGACTTTCTTCATATTATGCAACAGCTGTCGCATTTTTTTCGTCATATTCAGTCGAATTGTCATGTGGAAGATGTGTTGAACAATTCTATCGTTGACACAACAGCCACTTTGTGGCTCCCGTTAGTTCCTCCGGCACGCCGCACCCGCTCTAGTCATGTGTCTTGGAGCGCATTGACGGCATGATTTCTGCCTGGCCACCTCCGGGACTTCATAGGTGGCTGGTGTGGAGTGTTCTTCCTACCCTTTATGGCCTCGAAAGGTGGAGAATAGTCCAGTCAGCAACATGCCCGAACTGCTCCCTACGCGAAACAAATAAGGATGTTTTGAGACAATGCATTGTCGCTCGTGTTTTCTTGAAGGACGTGCATGCTGGATTTTGCGGCTTCGGAGTAAATTGCTTTGTTTCTTCTGGGCGTTGTTCTCGAGGCTGCTTCACCTGCCTCCTCATTGTTGCTTGTGCCTTATGTCTTTGGCGCAATAGCTGTGAAGCGGTTGCAGCATGTCGTCGCCGTTGCGCTCTATTCCCGATTTTGGAGCGACTGTACAAAGAACTACTATTTGTTTTGCCGGAGGAACTCTTCTTTGTCGGTGAGGAGGAATCTCTTCGATACTGGTCCTGCCCTTTTGTGTTCCTCTAGAAGAGACGTGTAAAGCTTGTTTTCAGGCCTGCCTGGTTTTGGTATGTTAATGTTTGTTTAGTACTCGCACAAATACCTTGTAAATACTATATAAATACCTAACGTATAGATATTTACGCTTCATCTGTGTGTTCTTTGTTTACCATGTAATGTACATATGTAAATATATATTTTTGTAACAATTTTTTTGTGTGTTCATGAATGTTGTGTTTCGTCGCGAAGTTCTGCTGGATTGTAATTGATGTTCACTGTACGTGAGAATAAATTTCTCTGTACACAGAAATCAGAAATCACCATTTTCAATGCAGTCTTTCTACATATCTGGGATAGCTTATTTCTCTCCAATAGTAAAGTACATTGCAGTCTGAATCGTCAAATATTTGTTATGCACACATATTCGCAGTTCTGGGACAGCTTAGTGCTATCCCACGGTAGTGTGCGAAGTACTATAATTGATTGATATGTGGGGTTTAACGTCCCAAAACCACTATATGATTATGAGAGACGCCGTAGTGGAGGGCTCCGGAAATTTAGACCACGTGGGGTTCTTTAACGTGCACCAAAATCTGAGCACACGGGCCTACAACATCTCCGCCTCCATCGGAAATGCAGCCGCCGCAGCCGGGATTCGAACCCGCGCCCTGCGGGTCAGCAGCCGAGTACCTTAGCCACTAGACCACCGCGGCGGGGTGGTAGTGTGCGAAGTACTATAATTGTTAGATATAATTTTGAAAAACAAAGAAAGGGATAGCTTGTAGCTCAACCCCGGGTAGTGAATGCATTCACAATTTACACTACAAGCGAGATTGTGTTCCATCTTTTATGTGGTAACGGTAGGTACTGCTATCTCGTGTTTTAGTGCCCAAAGGGACACTACAGGAAATATTTAGTCAATGTGTATTTTTCAAATAGTGGTCCATACACCTCGTAGTGCCACTTTTGTGCTAAGAAAGTGCTGATTTGTGAATCAAATCACGTTTACACATCGCGTTAGCTCACATTTAATACCCCGCTTGAAAGCGTACCTAAGGTGAACAGCACGAAAGTAACACACGTGGGACAGGAAAAAAAGATGGGACAAACACTAACTTCCAACTGAAATTTGACCGACGAGGCCCTTATATGTACCCGAGTGAACAGTAAAAACAGTAAAAAAAAAGAGTGAAACATATGCAAAGATACGAAACATATAAACATCAACCGTCACTGGGCCTGCTACGCTGACCCGCACGTCCCGAGAAACAGATGGATCTCTGTCTGACAGTGCAAATGGGGGCTTGCTTATGCCCTTGCTCCTTTTCACGCACCATCTGAGCAGCCTCACAGATTATGCGCATGTGCCTTCTTTGATCTTATCCAGAACTGCGGTCCTTTAAAAGTGCGCAGTGCACCCACACAGGCTCACGTGCAGTGCCAGGAAGCCGTATTTGCCACTACGAACGTAATTGCTGTGTTTCCGTGAGAGTTTTTATAAAGCATCTACCTGTCCGGCCCACGTACCGCACGCCGCAAAACTATGGAATCCTGTACACCACGCTCTGCGCACAGTCGAGAAACTGCGTCCTGTGCTTGACCATGCACTGTTTGCTGCGCACAGGACACAGTTGGTCCTGCGCGCGATAAGCAGTGCGTGGTCAATCGCAGGACGCAGTTTGTCCCGTGTTTCTTTCCTACGAAAGAAACTCTTTAACGTTACCGTGTTTCGTATTAATGATAATTGACTGATATGTTGGGTTTAACGTCCCAAAACTACCTTATGACTATGAGAGACGCCGTAGTGGAGGGCTCCAGGTAAATTTCGACCACCTGGGGTTCTTTAACGTGCACCCAGCACACGGGCCTACAACATTTCCGCCTCCATCGGAAATGCAGCCGCTGCGTCTGGGATTCGATCCCGCGACCTGCGAGTCAGCAGCCGAGTACCTTAGCCACTAGACCACCGCGGCGGGGCGTTCATAATAATTATATCTGGCACTTAACGTTTGAATTCGAAACAACGATATGATTATGAGAGACGTGGTAGTGAAGGCTTCCGAAAAGACCACCAGGAACCCTTTACCACGCACCTGGATGTAAACACATAGACGCAAATATTTTCGCCTCCATTGAAAATTCCGCTGTCGCGTTTATACGAAAATACTAAAGGTCTCTATTACGTAGAAGAGTCGCACCAACGTTTCAAACGACACCATCTACGGTCTTGTGGGCAGGTCCCTCATCGAGGCACCGGACAATTGGAACCGCGCCACCTCAGCCACGCTCTTCGCGGCTGCTTCGGTGGCCGACTTGTTGTTCTGCTCCTACCAGACTCACGTGTCGCTGCGCCTGTGCGCACGAGTGCGATCCATGCTCCAAGCTGCCATATTCAACAAGGTGAGCCGCATTGACTTTTAAAGACGATATAGCCTTTCTGGGGGACCTTTCACGCAAAAATTTTGGTCTGTCTGTCTGTCTGTCTGTCTGTCTGTCTGTCTGTCTGTAAACTTGGCTGTTTGTCCCCTCTTAAGGGTATCGGGTACACCAATGTTGCTCAAGATTCAGCGTTTACACTTGTGCGATTGTCAATTGAAAAGCAATTATTGCGCATATGTGAGGCACCATAACAATACGTATATATTCTGTATGTGAGTCTTTTACTAGAAAAGGTACACATAAGTAATTCTAAAGACCGTTGCGTTTACCACGCGGCGCTGACTATTCAACGCTTGCACAAAAAGGCGAGTGCTTCCAACGCTTTGCTAAGACGTCACGGTGGTGGCACCTACCCGCCGCCTTGCGTTCTACGCACACGTCCCCTTCACAGCCACGCGCTTCGTTTTCCAAGAAAACTGCCAGATGGCGCTCATGTCTCACGTGTGACATACTTGATTCGCTCCTTCGCCTCCGCTGCACGCTCGAGGCACTTTAACGCAGCGCCTCCATCATACCATTCACTGATTTTTTGCGCAGAACATTAAATAAATGTTTTGTTCACTCTCTCCATACGCAAGACTATCGTCTTTCGACGACATTTGCAGATTAACATGAATATACGAGGCTGATTTTTTCCAATACTTGATTTGATTGCCAGTTTATCTTCTTATAAAAGGCCGTGCGTAGCCATATTTTAATGTTATTTACTGTAAATACGTTTCCATTTATGGTCAAGCAAAAATCTGCACTAACTTATGCCATGTGTGTCTACATTTACGTATGTATGTATCTGTAATCTTCCCTTCTTCGTATAATCCCTTAACAGACTGAGAATAAATATAGGTAAAAAGAAAGGAATTGATAACACAAAAAATTGAATAAAACACGTGGGAAATACCAGTGCTACGTGTTTATCAGGTTTTTTACGCATTCCAGCCTTCTAAATTTTCAATTATCACTTCACAACACTTTAATGTCTTTCGCTTGCCTCATGTAACTCGATCGCTAACGCGATACTTGTGTGTTTTTATCTTACAGCTATATCTGTGAATAAGGGTGCATTTTCCGGTGGGAATCATCTGAATGTACATATTACTGTGTCAATTGACAATGCTCCTGACAAAAATGTCAGCGTCTTTTATTTTTCACTCTGCGTGTCCTTCTATAATGCATGTATATCGCAGCACTGTGTGTCCTTATATATCGTACATATTCCTTGAGCTGGCAAACATTGAATTACGCTGCAGCAACTGAATCGACTAAACTACTTATGTATAACTGGATACCTTTACGTGTGTAAGCGCGTGATCGGTGTCCTGCCAGACTTTCTACGTACAAACGTGCATCCCCTGGGCGACTACGTGTTCTTGTTGTCCGAAATCAGTACGTTTCAACTTTTGGTACAAAATTTTTCTGACTGCCTTACCGTATAATGCGGCGCATTCAAACCATGCTTGTTACACTAAGATGAAAGGTGTGCGAATATTCGACCATTTTGAAAGAGAAAATTAACAAGGTTCTTCTCAAGTTTCTGACTCCAAATACCGAATATTTTTCGAACAATTAGACAAGACGGGAAAACCCTGAAGTAATGATACGCTGAACAGCAAGCAGTGAACTCTATTTGCTTTACCAATTTAATTACGAAGGGGCATGCAGCCCGACCTATTAAGAAACTTTCGACACACTATATTGATCGCTGGATCGAGGTGTTCTCGCTTATGATTATTGCCTTACTATGCGAAAATGGTGATCTTGCTATTTCAAAACTACTTTGTGATTAATCGATTCGTATCAGTTTTTGATTCGGTGTTATGCCCAACTGATATTTTTCATTCAATTCTTAAGTTCGCCAATCGCACATCTTTAACAAGTACCGCGAGGCCTGCGCGAAACAAGCTGCACCATCCCAGTGAGAGGAAAGCTAGGAGAGTGGCCTTAGTAGAGCCTTTGCTGATCTCAATTGCACCACAAACTACTACGAGTCACTTGCATGGCGTATACTACTCCCTAAATCATCGTAATTTTTGTCGAGTAGAAAAGTATTCAGCCACTCCATCATTATTCGCTATTCTGCGGAGAATGAACATACCCGCTATATACCTGTAAGAAATTATTGGCACTTTCGTCATGCTATGGCTGATGGCGTGGAGGAATAATAGCAGAGCCATATGTAATGTGTTGTAAGTTTTGAGCTGCCCAGAATTTACGCAATCTGCATTCTGTGACGGCCTGTAGCTATTTGATTCCCCTACCGCGATATAGTACGTAAGTTAACGTACTTCATTCCCCGACTTGAAGAATGTCTTTTCGTGAAAGAATATCAAGCATTGGCGTGGCTCTCTCAATAAAGGAAAGAAAAAAAAAATGTCGTAGCTCTGTGTTACAATACTCGTCCGCAACGCAAAGGATCCGGTTTATCCTAGATTTTTTTTTTTGGTTTCGTTTTTGTCTTATTTTTCGGGATAGCAGTTGCGGACACCGGCGGCGGTGAACTGTTCTGATTTCATAGCGAATTTCACCGTGAAATCCTTCCCGCTTACCCTTCACCCAGATGACGCGTCTGTCGCCGTCCGCACTCACCCGCAACCCGTCGGGCTACGTGGTCTCCGTGTTGGGCGTGGACTGCGTGCAGCTGTCGGCCAGCGCCCTGCAGTTCCCTCTTCCGATAATTGGCTCCCTGTGCATGCCGGTGGTGCTCTGGGTGCTGGCGCTACGCGCAGGGACCGTGCCGGCGGTCGGTTGCGCCTTGTGGCTCATGATTGTCCTGTTCCTGCCCTTCCCGACGTCGGTCCTGCAGAACATACTCTGGGTGAGTGAATGTTAATGTTTCGTGTGATGCCACTCCAGGAGTGAGTGAGGGAGGGAGTGAGTGTCCGTATTCAATTTTTCCATATGTCAAGTTTGAAACTGACATCTCTCGATAAACTTGTTCTGAAACTCTTATTTTGAAATAGCTAATCAGGCGTAACGCTCGGCAGGAACGTCACCTGCTTGAGTATTTCTTACAAACGCTACTCGATGTTGCTTTTTAACAGCGAAGCTCTTAAGGCTATAGCCATAGTGAGTGCGGCCTATCGGGCATGAAACACTGCCTGGCGTTGTCAGAAAAAAATATCATCATCATAAACAGCTGCGTGCCGCATAAATAGGGCTAATCCCATTACTCACGAAGAGTCCACTAAAAGAAGCGAAGTCAACAGTGAGCCCAGCAAACGGCTGCGAAGCGACGCCGGCGAGCCGAAGACCCCGCGCACGTACAACAAGAAAATACCAGGAAAGCAGAAAGGCAATAGCGGCTCCGAGAAGACCTTGAGGTGATGTAAGGCCCAAGCCAATGACAGTGTGCTGGTGTCGAGGCTGACTGTGGTTCAACTCAAACATCTCTAATCGGAGAATCAATGTAGAAACAACCTGCGTCCCCTGGCTGAGGCGTATGAACAACCTGAAATCAACCGTACTACTTTCCAAAATCGTTCAGTTTCGCAATCTCAAGGCTTGCGTGGCTTCCCGCAGGCTTCATCAATGTTTTTTTCATCACAATGTCTTTTCTTTCCTCCTTTCCATTTACCCTCTAAGCGCCATTTTATTCAACTGCGCTAGAAGCAACATCATTTTTTCAATCTCACTCTTTCTAGTTGTGTCCAAAATGTAATACGTAGCAGGTAAATACGGAGAAGGAGGTTCCAATGTTAGAAACTGCTGGTGGGACCTCCGGCCTATGTTAATACGTTCGAAAAACTAAAATACGTACAAGAAATAACAAGAACGCGTTTTTTTTTTTGTCTTCCACGTAACATGAACATTACTAAATGCTCCACTTAACCCTTTAGGAATCGTATGCAAACAAGACAACTTTAGGAAATAAAGAAATGCCCCACCTGTACGTTGAATAAACATTTTTTCCCATTTTTTTCTACAAACATGAATGTGAATTACATCTCTCACATCCCGTTATAGTCAATTTTATAAAAAAATTAGTGAATGGATAATGCTAATTTTTTTCACGATTAGTACGAACTTTCAGAAACGAAACGTTACTCGAGTGCGAATCTAGTTCTATTGGGATTGCACAACAAGACAGCAGATAGTATGTCGATAATAAGGATGCGTGGCGAAGAACGTTGAAAAACAAAACACACACATTTTAGACATGCAGTTCGGAGACGGATAGTATGACAAGCTGCAAAAAAAAAAGAACACTGTGTGAAGGCGTCTGACGTGAAGCGAAAGTTATGAGTCGCATTGCTTGCTTTTGCAGTATCTTGAACGGCCAAATGTGCGCTGAATCTGAATTAACCCCTGATGAGATGGAATAACTGAGATGGTTGTGTCGGAATGAATTATACAGTGTCTTCAGGTATCGATGATGAAACACTTTAGCCCCATCACTTTTCCGCCTCCCTGCCTAGAGGCATTTTATTGGGTCTTTCTAATACATCAGCTTTTGCTGTTGTTGTTGTTGTTGTTGTTGTCGTTGTTGTTGTTGTTGTTGTTGTCGTTGTCGTTGTCGTTGTCGCTGTTGTTGTTGTTGTTGTTGTTGTTGTTGTTGTTTTAGCTCGCTCAGCAACCTTCTTATCCTCGCACCTTGTCCCGCGGTGGCGGTGGCGTGTACACTTCTGCGGTGATTTTCGAAGTGCTCAATAGATGGCCCGCCACCGCTCAAGCCATGGGCTCTCCGGCGATTCCAACAATGCTCACTAGATGGCGCGCCAGCGCTGAAAGCGTCCCCTCCGATTATTGCAACAAGACTCACATTAAAGACGCGCCACCACTCAAGGCGTCGGCTTTCCAGTGATTTCCGGAATGCTCACTAGATGGAGCGCCGCCGCTCAAGGCGGCGCACACTACCCTCGGCACGTTCGCTTCCTTTCTCTCCACCGGGACCTCACGCAGTGAGCACGTTTCATTACCACTTCGAAACAAACACCTCAGAAGTCAAGGCAGCAGTGCGGCGGGCTCACAAAGCAGCGGCATCTCGGTCTCACCACGAAGATTTTGCGGGGACAGCCTTGGATATGTAACAACCTTGTCACGTCTACATATGATGGTAGGACATGTGTAAAGAATATTCGCAGAAATTCCCTTTCATCTCCGAGCAGGCTCCTCTAACCTCATTCGCTTTGGGGATATGGCTGTGATTTTTGTTTTCGTGAATCCCTAACAACGCACGGAATGCCCTAAAGGTTGACTCATTCTAATTCTCGTTCCTTCTCGCAGAAACGTGTAATGCGGTTCCGCGACGAGCGTCTGAAGAGCACCGCCGACCTGCTGTCCTCGGTTCGCGTAGTCAAGTTGTACGCGTGGGAGGACGCCTACCTGGGCACCGTAGGACGACTGCGAGACGCCGAGCTGGCTGCACTTCTACGCACGAATCTGCTGGACGGCCTCATGGACTCCCTCTACAGCTCCACGTCTTCGCTGGCACGTGACCCTTTATGTAACGTTAATTGATAGGGCGAGAAATGCAAAAACAGAGGGTGGTTTAAGGAGCCGATCACGTTTCAACAAGCAGACTTACCTTTCTCAAGGTTGGAGTCTTGAAAACGATAAGTCCGCTTTTCAGAACTTCCTCTCAGAACCTACCCTCTGCTTTAAAATTTCTCATCGCAAGCTTCCATCTTATTCTTCTTGGTTTCCTTTTGGACAATTGCTGGGGTGTTACGTCCCAAAACCACCATGATTATGGGCAACGTAACGGAGGTCTCGGGAAATATACCATGAAGTGTTTTTAAAATGCGCTTACAGAACCCAGTACAGAAGCATATTGTATCAAGACTGATTGTTTGCCTAGTTGGTACTTGCTGGATAGCGTAAGGCTGTCCTGAAGACTGCGCATGTCTGTATGCTGCATACTCAAGTCTGGGTTTGCGCTTAGTCTACTTTAGCTGGAAGTGCCGCTTGTGCTTGTCACTGTGCGTTCATTTGCTCTGTGTTTGTCACATTTTGCGGCCAAAGTATGTCATTAGGCAGTTCGGAAGCATTTAACCTCCATCGGAATGTGGCCGCTGTGGCCTGGGTCGAACCCGCGACCTTCGTTAAGCAACGAGCACCGTAACTACTGACACACCCAGGTCGACTGCAGCCGTTGTAAGGACGAACGACTTGCATAATATTTTCATGGCCTCACTCTTGCATTTTGCAAAAGCGACTGGCAGAACAGGGCCTTAACAGATGAGGTTATTATAGATAAAGATAAGTCCAATCCTCATTTATTCCTCCTCCTCCTCAATATAATGACTTGCATAAATTTTTCAATTGCCTCACTCTTGCATTTTGCAAAAGCGAATGACAGAACAGGGCCTTAACAATTTAGGTCACTTTATAGATAAAAATAAGTTCAATATAATATTTGTGTAGATGCAGTTGCATAATCTGCACAATTTTCTTTTAAATATATTGTTAATAATAATAATATTTATTCTTATTATTAAAATTATTATTATTATTATTATTATTATTATTATTATTATTATTATTATTATTATTATTATTATTATTATTATTATTATTATTATTATTATTATTATTATTATTATTATTGCAGTTTTTCGGGTTTCCCAGCATGTGGGAGATGTGAAGACCAATTTATTGAGTTTTTCGCATCGTAAAACACAAAAAATTGGTTTTTAGGGTATTTAGGAAGAGGTTATTGTTGTCACACCATGTGGAGAACGAACAAAAATATGACTGCAGAAAGCGACAGTCGTTAACTGAATGAATTTTCTCAAGTATGCTGATGTTATCAGCATACATGAAAATGAAGAATAACGAATTGCAAAAGCAATGTCATTAACCAAAATTAAAAATAAGAGTTGGCCTATGTATAGCCTAGTGTTTGTTACCTAATATGTGATGTCGACTTTTGTGCAAGAGAAAAGAAGTAGCTGGCACCACGCATTGACACCAATCTCCCCTTTTGAACATATATTTAAAAAAAATGCATGAGTAAATTTTACAAAACACGTACCTATCGTGTCATTTCCATACTATGTCAATACCATGTTGTTATGTAAGGTTTATGAATTCAGTGGTCTTGTTGTTCTTTTTGATTGTATGCTCAATTTTTACACTCACACTAAACGTACTGCCACAGGAGGCCTTCATTCTCTCGGTTGTGTTTGCAGAATCTCTCGAAAATTTTGTTATCCTACAGCACTCTTGAAATTGCACACCTCAATATGGCTTCCTCAACTGGGGTATGCATCTGTGACCTAGAATGGAATTACTAAATCTGGCAGTGACACCATCAAGCGAGTCTAGAAAAAAACCATAACTATTTACAACCATCGTTTCTCTTAAAGTGACTCTGTATCTATTTCCAACATTGCTAAGTTATTATCATTGCCCTCACTTTACTGTCGACGAAATCTCGCTGACCTCTTATTTTTTTACAAACTAGTTCACGGTATAATATCTTACCCTTTGCTTCTCAGTTGCGTAAATTTTTGGATGCCACGTAAGTTAATCAGAACCGACAGACGAAGAATTTTGTTGTGTTAGGAATCGACCATCTCATGTACCTGCCAACGTCTTTCAACTGTCTACTGCTTACAGAATAAAAAGTCTATATAACCTTAACTTTCATGATCTTGATGTGTTTCACAGTTCACTCGCATTGTTTTTGCGCCACCGGTGTGACCTAGTGGCTGAGGTACTCGGCTGCTGACCCACAGGTCACGGGATCGAATCCCGGCTGTGGTGGCTGCATTTTCGATGGAGGCGAAAATGCTGTGATCCCGTGTGCTCACACTTGTGTGCACGTTAAAGAACCCCAGGAAGGTGAAATTTCCGGAGCTCTCCACTACAGCGTCTCTCATAATCATATCATGGTTTTGGGACGTTAAGCCCCACATATCAATCAATCCCCTTGTTCTTACATCGGCTTTGCACTGTCTTAACAAAGTTTTCCGCCATGTACAGATTCTTCCATTTTCCGTTTTTCAGGAAACCTTCTACATACTTGTGTATATTCCGCTTTATTTTTCACCACCATTTCATGATTCTCGTCTTTCATTCTTCCCATTATGCGCTGGTTTCTTCTTCTCTGTGTTTACGGTCTCTTCATTTGATTTCATTTCTGTACACTGTATTCTATTGTTTATTTTTATGGTTTATTTTTGCATGTGCCTGCACTAGGACCTTGTGGCTGTTCCGTAAAATATTATAGCTGATTCGTTCAATTATTATTATTATTATTATTATTATTATTATTATTATTAATATTATTATTATTATTATTATTATTATTATTATTATTATTATTATTATTATTATTATTATTATTATTATTATTATTATTATTGCAATATGTGACACCTTTAAACATACGTTCCATGTGTTGTCACCTTAGACGTTGGCGCCACCTTGACGTTCCGTATAAAGCCCAAATCGATGACATTGAGCCGCGAGCAGTATGTTCTATGTACGAATTACATCGTGCGAGCGTAGGTGACGAACGCTTATCAGCCAGCGAGGAACGATTCTCCTAGACCCATACGAGCAGGCCATGCCACCTTACGCGACTAGCCTCGCTTGCTTCGCTGACTTCGTGTTCTCGATGCAGCTGACCATCATCCTGTTCGGCCTTCTGGCTGCCGTAGGAGGGACGCGAACTTTGACGCCGACGCTGTCCTTCTCGTGTCTCTACCTGCTCTCGCTCACCGACATGATCACCAATATGATGGCCAACACTATGAGGATGAGGAGCCTGGTGAGTTGAAGGTCCTGCGAATATACGAGGTGCTTGTAAACATATTCGTGGCGCAAAAAGAACCAGACGCGGACACAGGTATAAGAAACACATACGCCCCGTGTATGTGTTGCTTTCTTGTGTCCACGTGCGGGATTTTTAGTGCTATGAATAGGAACGCTTGCGACTCATACCATCTAGCCCGCCTCACCACTTTGACTGCTTCGTTGCCGTGAATCAACGAATGTGCTGCTCTCATTTCAGCCACGGGACTGACCAACTGTATGTGGTGTCAGACGCAAGACAGCTGTGGCATAGACGGCTACAGTGCTCTTTTCTTATCTCCAACTTTCCTTCCCATCCCCTTTCCCCAGTGCAGGGCTGAGTACTGGGCTCAGCCGTAGGTAACTTCTCTGTCTTTCTTTTATCGCTATTATCTCCCCCTCCCCCCAAGGAGGTTTAAAGGAACACTAAAGAGAACGACGATTTTCTGCGTATTAGGAAAGCACAATTTCACAATGCCGAAAAAAGCACTCTTGGTGCGGGAATACGCTTGATAAGCGAGCAAACGCATGGACAAAAATTGGTAGATCCCACGTACAGTAGGAATCGATGATATGCGAAGCACAAATAAGAAATGTCAGTATGTCACTTTAAAATCAGCACAACATTATGAGGTGGAGGTAAATGATGCCGTACACGACTTTCGGGTCATGATTATCATGTTTGGATATGTCGTTTCCCTTCGCAATTTGTTCACGTCATGTCACACCAAATTTAGTATATGCGAAGCTAGAGAAACGGCCGCGAGCATGCGATGAGCATGATATGTTGTCAAATTTTTACATGACACGCGTGCCAGGATTACCATGTTTGCACCTATCGTATATTTTGTCATCCATCGACGTAACGTAACACCAAATTTGGTATATGTGGAGTTAGCGAAATGGCGGCGAGCGCATCATGAAGGGCCCAAGATACTCCAATGTAGCGTTGACGTGCGCGCACGCTGGGCGCAACGACGCTACATTCGCTTAAAAGTGTGGCAGCTTGGGCTAGTTGTTATGACATGACGGTAGTTATAGAGCGAGAACAAAACGACGACACAGAGGTGCTCATATTCTTCGTGTCTCTCTTGTCTCTGTGTCGTCATTTTGTTCTCGCGCTATAACTATCGTCATGCTACGTTCGCAACACGCCAGCACTCTATAGTCTGACGCCAGGCGCGAGCGGCACGACCAGCGTCTGTCAGCGCGGACCCGACGGAAACCGGTGCGAAATGCGACATGCTGTAATTCGCGCCGATGCATTACCCAGACAACACTGCATCTCCCTCTTGTAGTGATGGAGGGACGCCAGACGCGCTGAAACGCGCATGCGTCAAAGCAACGCAGCACAGTGTGTGAGTGCGAGTCTATAGGACCGGCGCCTGGCGTGGCAACGCCAGCGTGACGCGACGAAATGAACGCCAGAGAGCACGCGCACTGTGTCACGTCTAAATGTATTGACACCTTCACTGTGGCATGTAGTCATGTTCTCACATGACACGCATGTCATGATTATCATGTGTGCAGCAGTCACATACCTTCGTCATCCATTGGTGTCACGTAATACTAAATTTGGCATGTGAAGCTAGCGAAACGGCGGCGAGCGCATCATCAGTGTGTCATGTAGTCACGTTGTTACATAACACGCATATAATGATTATCATGTTTGCACCAGTCACATACTTTTGTCATTCATTCCCGTACTGTAATGCCAAATTTGGTACATGTGACGCTAGCGAAATGGCCGCGAGCGCCTCATGAGCGTGGCGTGTAGTCTTGTTGTTACATGACACGCATGTCATGATTTTCATGTTAGGGTCTGTCGCTTGTGTTCGCCATGCAATCATGCCATACGATACCAGTTTAGCAACATGTCATGCAAACGAGATTACCGCAAGAGCTGCAAGACCATAAAATGTAAAACATGACATTCATCACATGCATGCCATGATTTTCATGTTACGGCTAGTCAAATATGTTTTTCATACAGTCATGTTATGGCATACCAAGTTTGGTATCGATACTATTATCGAAACAGCGAGGAGACCTAAAAGTCGGAAGTGGCCATCCATCCATCCATCCATCCATCCATCCATCCATCCATCCATCCATCCATCCATCCATCCATCCATCCATCCATCCATCCATCCATCCATCCATCTATAGATAGATAGATAGATAGATAGATAGATAGATAGATAGATAGATAGATAGATAGATAAATAGATAAATAGATAAATAGATAAATAGATAAATAGATAGATAGATAGATAGATAGATAGATAGATAGATAGATAGATAGATAGATAGATAGATAGATAGATAGATAGATAGATAGATAGATAGATAGATAGATAGATAGATAGATAGATAGATAGATAGATAGATAGATAGATAGATAGATAGATAGATAGATAGATAGATAGATAGATAGATAGATAGATAGATAGATAGATAGATAGATAGATAGATAGATAGATAGATAGATAGATAGATAGATAGATAGATAGATAGATAGATAGATAGATAGATAGATAGATAGATGGACGGACGGACGAGGGGACGGGGGGGTGGACTGATGATTGGACGAACGGGTCGGTGGGCAGGTGGGCGGACGGACGAAATTTTTGCCCCCTTTATGGCCATTCACTCCGTGGATCAGCTGTGAATTTTTCTCACACGCACTATAGTTTAACGGGACAAAGTTGCGCTACTGGTTTCTACAATAGTGAAGGACGTTGGATCTGTTGGTATTGCATAACAAAAGGGAAAAACGGTGCTTAAAAGACGCTGCGAGAGTTGTTAGTAGCTCATCATGAGTCATTATTACTGGCCCTGTCTTTCAAGCATTCTTTTGTTCCTTTTGTTGCGGTTCGTACAAGAAACCACAAATACTTGGCAAATGTCGAGATTGATTTCAGCAAAGCTCGCCATTGCGTAAGCGGATGTTTATTTACACTATGTACAAAAAAACAAAAAAAATTCCATGACATTCCTGATAATAAGGGGCACATGGACATCGGCACATTGTGCCACCATAACCACCACTTTGTTGTAGTGAACAGATCATTACTCAAATGTACATGACAGACGTGGCCTGCATGTACAAAGGTACACAGTGAGATATCTTGATACAATGAATACAATGATACAATGATACTAGGAATGCCTCATTGCTCCTCGTTTAGAAAAAAAAATGTGAAGCGCTTAGAGCACTATATGCACACTGCTATGGGAGAGCCAAAGGCTGTTCGCTAACGGCCAATGAGTACGTGTGAGCAACTGTGGGTTTTTAAAAGGTTAATGACAATTTATAGTACGAGGTACTCTACTATGGAAGAGCATAAAGCCGTCTCGTGGGTCTCACACTTGATGAGGCCGTCGCACAAAAACGTTACGCCAGTGAATGAGCGCAAGACTGAGCAGCAGGCATACAGTTACAGGTTTACTGCAGCAGAGCCACTACTTCGTGGACTGTGTTTAGAAAAAGTGGCCAACGGTTTAGAGTTCTAGGTACCCTACAATGGGAGAGCATAAAGCCAGCCTATTGGCCTCCCACTTGGTGAGGCCCTGTTGACAAACATTACGCCATGAACGACGAGTGATGACCAGAGTCGAGAGAATTTCAGCAGCCTTCAGCTCGCCCGTTGTGTTCAGAAAAGGGGGATAACAATTGAGAGTACTCGGTACTCTACTATGGGAAAGCATATAGCCGTCTTGTGAACGTCACTCTTAAGGAGGCTTTGTCGACAAAAATTGGTGGCTTAGGAACACCACAGATTACATTTAAGATGAGTGTTTTTCCTCGCACGCCCAATGGGTGTTTAGAAGTTGTTAATGATTTAGAATACTTCGTACTCCCCTATGGAACAGCTATGTCCATTTAAAACAAACGCTTGACGATTTAGAGTACTAAGGGAGGGCTTTAAGCTGTCCCAATAACGGGGGGGGGTGGGGGATGAAAGAAATGGTTAACGGTAGCTGACATTACCCTGAATATCCAGCGAGCCACTTGACGAAGTATGAATTCTCGGAGTGCATAAAGGAAACACAACAAAGACGTACAGATGTGGGCACCTACGTGTCTCTAAGTCTGGGCTGTGTTTCTTGCTTCTATGCTACATGATTGTGGACGCTACCTTATTCAAAGCTCTGCTAGATGTCGTAATTTCGTCGGGAACAGCAATTTTTTATTAGAGAACTAATGCAGCGTTTACACGTGACACAGCAACGCGACTCAGCGACTCAGCACTCTTAGTTGACATCCGGTGTCCATGACCACTTTCTCTTTCATCCCAAAGTGAATGGATATTCCGCTTTTAGCGGCGTAAGCATCGCACCCTTAAGAATTAACACTTGTTCATTTTTGTTCTTGTGTTTTTTTTCCTTTCTTTTTCTCTTTCGTTTTCTCCATGTGCACATGTAGCCATGTCTAGTTCACTTTTTTCGTTATTTGTCATTTATTGATTGTTTCTTTACTTGAAAAGGCCCCGTCTCTTGTTATATTTCAACAAGTATCGACGCATACGTCTCCCTCTCCCCTTTGACTGTTTTACTCTTGTACTAATGGTCTTTCGCCTCGTCCTGTTTTAACAAATCACAATGATATGTCACGGGAATCTGCATTTAAACTCGAACTCATTGTACGAATCGAATCTTTGATAAAGGCCGGTCCCCTGCCGAAAGCTCAGAATAAATATTGTTTATGTTTTTCACTGTGACCTTCTTTCATATATTTAAACCAATTAGCCAAGAATACCCTTTTCAGAGTATATATGTGACGCTATGATAAATGGAAGACGTGGTCTGGCTCATACCCCATGTTTATTCCAAAGCACTTCTTAGTCATCGGCTTCTTCAACCGTGGCTTCATACGTCACATGATTCCCCCTCCCCCTGAAAAATGGCACTGGTTACAAAAAAACAACCAGGGCAACTGTATATGGTTCCTACGGGATTAGAGTAGCACAACTG